ATTGTAAAATCTCCCTGGTCCCCTCGGAGCCCCCGGCCTGATCACATAACCAGGTCTTGAGGGACTTATGGAATGTTAAGAGGGATGGAGCTAATATCACTTTGGCGGGAGAAGATTCCACAAGGCAGGCGCCACAGCAAAGAAGGCCCACCTCCTGGGAACCACCAAATGTAATTCTTTAGCAGACAGGATCTGCAGCATGATCTGATGGGACAGGCAGATGTAATCAGGGAGAGGTGGTTCCTCAGGTAACCTGGCCCCATGCCATGAAAGGCTTTAAAGGTCAAAACCAGCACCTTGAATTGGACCCAGAAGCAAACTGGCAACCAGTGCAGCTTGTGAAGCAGAGGTGCAACATGTACCACCCTAGAGGCACACATAACTGCCCACACCACTGCATTTTGCACCAGTTGAAGCTTCCGGATACTCTTCAAGGGCAGCCCCATGCAGAGCATATTACAGAAATACAAACGGGAGGTGACCAGGGCATGAGTGACAGTGATTAGGTCCCTCTGATCTAGGAATGGGCGCACAACACAAAGCTGTGCAAAGGCCCTCCTAGCCACGACTGCCACCTGCTCTTCGTGCAGGAGTCGTTAGTCCAGGAGGACCCCCAAATTGCGCACAGGGTCTGTCTGGGGCACTGCAACCCCATTCAATACCAAAGAGGGCATAACTCTAGCATCAGAAGACCCCAGAACCCAAGCCACTCAGTCTTCCCAGGGTTCACTTGAAGCCTGTTGTTCCCCATCCAGACCCTCACAGCCTTCAGGCACCGGGATAAGACATTCACAGCATCTCTAAATTCGTCAGGGGCAGAGATGTATTATTGGGTATCATCAGCATACTGATGATGCCTCACCCTATGGCAACGGAAGAGCTCACCCAGTGGCCTCATGTAGATGTTAAATAGGAGGGGGAGAGCACCAAACCCTGTGGCACTCCACATAAGAGGGGCCAAGGGTGGGATCTCTCCTCCCCAACCACCACCAACTGGAATTGGCCCTGGAGGAAGGAGGTGAACCAGCACAACACAGTGCCGCCCA